AATTATTAGGTAGTGTAGGCCAGCCTTGTATATTGTTTTAAAAAAATTGTTGACTACAAAAAATATTATCTGGCTTAGTAATTTATGTTGACTCTTCCCACACTCAATCAATCATTCAATAAAAAAATTTTAAGCACCTACTTCATGCCGGGCACTGTGCTAAGTGCTGGGGATATACAAAGAGGCAAAAGACAATCCCTGCCCTAAAGTCTCTTGCCTTCTCAATCTAATGGAGTTACAGGCAGGACAAATAGGAAGTAATTAACAGAGACTGCGTTAGAATTAAGAGAGCTTGGGAAAGGTTTCTGTTGCAGATGGGATTTTGGTTGGGACTTAAAGGAGGCCAGGGAAGTCAGGAAGCAGAGATGAGGAGGGACAGTATTCTAGGCATGGGGGGAACAGCTAGAGAAAGTTCTGGAGCCTAGAGATAGAGTGTCTTATTTGTGGAACAGCAAGGAGGCCAATGTCACTGGATTGAAGAGTACGTGATAGGAGAAAGGTATAAGAAGACTGGAAAGGTTATATTATGAAGGCCTTTAAATGCCAAGTAAGGTATTTTGTATTTGATTCTGTAGGCAACAGGGAGCCACTGGAGTTTATTGAGCAGGTGGGTGACTTGGTCCAATCTGTGCTTTAGGAAAATCCCCTTAGTGGGTGAATGGATTGAAGAGGCTAGGGACAGATAGACCCACCAGCAGGCTATTGAAATAGTCTAGCTATGAGGTGATAAGGGCCTGCACTAGAGTGGCAGCAGCATCAGAAAAGAGAAGGGGGCTAAATGAGAGTTGTTGCAATGGTGAAATTGACAGGCCTTGGCAACATATTGGATGTGAGGGAGTTATAGATAGTGAGGAGTTGAGAATGACTCCTAGATCATGAGCCTGAGGGACTGGGACAGTGGTGTCCTCTACAATAATAAGGAAGAAGTTGGGTTTAGAGGGAAAGATAATGGGTTCCATTTTGGACATGTTGAGTTTAAGATGTCTACTAGACATTCAAGTTCAAGATGTCTGAAGGGCAGTTGGAGATGTGAGATTGGAAGTCAGCAGAGAGAATAGAGCAGGATATGTAGATTTGAGAATTATTAGTGTGGAGATGGTCATTAAATCCATTGGAACTGATGAGACCATCAAGTGAAGTCGTATAGGAGGTGAAGAGAAGAGGGCCCAAGACAGAACCCTCTGGCGAACCTATGGTTATAGGGAGTTATATAGATGAAGATTCAGCAAAGGAGACAGAGGAGTGGTCAAATATGTAGGAGGAGAACAAAGAGAAAATTATAAAGAGGGCCTCTTCGTATATCCCCAGCACTTAGCACAGTGCCTGGCATGATCCTTGAGAGAAGAGAGGAGAGAGTGAGCAGCAGTATAAAAAGGCTGCAGAGAGGTTAAGAGAATGAAGAGTAAGAAAAAGCCATTGGATTTGACAACTAAGAGATCATTGGTAACTTTGGAGAGAGGAATTTTGGTAAAATGATAAGGTCAGAAGCCTGATTATAAGGGGTTAAGAAGAGAGTGAGAGGAGAAGTAGAAGCACCTATTGCAGATGGCCTTTGTGAGGAGTTCAGCCACAAAGGACAGAAGAGCTATAGGATGAGAGTGGGGATGGAAAGATTGAGTGAGGGTTTTTGTTTTTGTTTTTTTCAGGATGGGGGAGGCATGGCCATATTTGTAGACAATAAGGTATGAGTCAGTAAATGGGAGAAATTGAAAATAAGTGATAAAGTGGGTATGACGGAGGGAGCAATTTATTGGAGGCAGAAAGGAATGGGATGATTTGAACATGCAACCTCTCTAGGTTAGCCTTGGTAAGGAGTAAGTCCATCTCATCATGTGAGACAGGTGTGAAGTAACAGGTAGTGACAGAAGGCATATAAGTAATATGGGATGAGAAGGCAGGAGAAGAGGAAGCTCATGGCAAATGCCTTTAATTTTTTTTCTTTAAAATAAGAGGCAAAGTTCTTATCTGGGAGAAAAGGGGAAGGAAAAGCCATGGGAGGTTTGAGGAGGGGTGAAAAGGTTCGGATGGAGAGTGGGTTAGTTAAAAAGGAAGGTATAGTAGGATTGCCCAGCAGCAGCGAGGGCCCAGTTGGGATTGTGTAATATAAACCTGTAGTGAGCTGAGTCAGAATAGTTGCATGATTTTCTCCACTTGCATCCAGCAGTAAATGTATAGATGTATTGGTGAAGTGTGTAGTTGAAAAAATAAAGGTGGCATATGGTGGGTATGAGCCAAGGCTGAGGTTGGCAGGGCATAATTCATAAAATGATTAGGGGCTAGGAGTTCAAGAGAAGAGGACAGTATAGAGTTGAATTGGTTCATCAAGGGATCAAAATGGAAGAAAAAGGAGAGAGTGGCTAAGTTCAAGGAAGATAGCTGGGAGAGAATTGCGGTGTCAAGGGATTGGAGGTCACAGTGTGGGAAAAGAGTAGGGTTTAGTAACAGAAGGCAGAGGGAGAGGTGAAAAGCCAATAGATTACGGTTGGATAAGGGGATTTCAGAATTCTTGAATGTGGAGGTGGTACGCTGGTGGATGCTGGTAAGATTGAGGTTATGACCCTTTTTGTGTACAGCTGAGGTGGGGTGGAGGAGCAGGTCATGGGAAATGAATAAGTTGAAGAACTGAGTGGTTAGGGTATTTGAGGGAGAATCTATATGTATGCTGAGGTCTTTTTGTTATGAGAGCAACAGTTGAGGAGGAGAGGAAAATTGTGAGCCAGGTGTTGAGCTCACTGATGTATAAAGGAGAATGATCTGGAGGTATGTAGACAATAACTACCAGGATTTTGATTGGATGGCAGATACAAATAGTATGAACACCAAAGGAGGAGAGTTACTGAGTGATGGAGGTAGAGAGAGAACCTGGAAATGACAATGGGAAGCAAGTATTCCACCCTTGCCACTTTGACCAGTAAGCCGAAGGAAATGACTGAAGGTGCAGCCAGTAGTGGAAAGGGTGGACAGGGAGGCTCCTCCGCTTGAGGAACAATGACATCAGGAGGGTGATGTTCTGATTTGCAAATGAATTGGATTTAAGTGAGGCAACAAATACACAAAGAACTTTTCTCCCCATCTCTCTCCCACCTTCTTCTCCTCCCTCTCCAAACCTCATTAAAAACAAAAATGAAATAGAAAAGTGAGTCTGTTTCATGATTCTCATTAGAATTTTTTTTTTAACTGGTCCTGAGCATGTGAGCCAGTACTTATTTTCATGGTTGGCAGAATGGGCTAAGCATTTTAAGGACTGCAGATGAAATAATTCAGGGTAACTGGAACAAAGCTCTTCAGAACTGTGGTTTTATTACTACTTAAGTACTGAATTGAGAGGTAGGATAGTATAGTAGAGAGAACACCAGACAGTGTCACTAAACTTTAGTCAACTCTCCAAGACTTATCTATTAAATTACAATAGTCCCCAGTCTAATAAAATCACAGATCCTTGATGTAAGAACTAAATTAGTTTTAAAAATACAGATGTTAGAGTCCCTGAATTTTGAGGCTCATCCTAGAACTTGTGAGTCAAAGCACAAAACAATACAAAAGTAAAAAAACTAGGCCCGTAAAAATGAGGCTGAAAGTGACGTTATGTTTAATGGGAAAGGGTGGCATTGGGCCACCCAGTGGATCAGGAAGAAAGAAGAGGGTTAGAGCCTTCCTTTTTGAGCTAGGGGAGTTCTTTGCTGATTTTAATGGGAGACGTAAGTTAGAAGGTCATCAAGGCCTTTCTCTGAGAAGCTCTAATTTTGACTGAACTGAATTTGAAGTAGCCTACTTCACAATAGCAGTTGATCTGGCTATTTTAGGGCAAAACCTGCTTCTTGGGCATGGCGCCATCTTGTGGATGATATCTAATGAGACCTACTTTAGTTTAAACAGCTTTAAGATAACGCTCACAGCTGATATTATATATTTTTGAGACTTTAAATTATAAAGTTAATTTTTGGGGAAATATTTCCATTTTCATCCTACAATATAGAACCAATCATTACATATCCCTGAGGAATAAATTTATTAATAAACTCATTCAGTATAGCTAGGTATGTTAAGGTGACTTGATATAGAGCACACTTAACTATTTTTTTGGAGGGCCCAAATTTAAGTTTTCATTGGTATAGGGAACTTCCAACGTGCAACTTTATCTACCAGTTCAGATTATCAGTTCACCTGCAGTTTATAATCTTAGATAACTGTCTAAGGCACCAAGCAGTTCAGTGATTGAGGCATGGTCACACTAGATTCCACAGGCAGGAATTCATCCCAGGTTTCTTTCACTCCAAAGCTGGCCCTCTGTCACACTACACCGACCCTCACATATATCTAACAGAGCATAGAATTAAACACATCCATATATATAAATCATATATAAAACCTTATAAGCATATATGCATACATATATTTACATAATATATATACATATATATATATATATATATATACATATATATATATATATATATATATATATATATATATATATATATATATATATATACACAGACAGAGAAATACTGAAAACCCAAGCTCAAAGCTCTTTTGACTAGGCAGGTTGGTATAAGCACAGGACTTAAGAATCAGAAGACTTAAATATGAACTCAGCCACTTACTAGCTGTATTGATTTTGTGTATTCAACCTCTCTGAGCCTCAGTTTCCTCATCTGAAATGTGGGGATTATAATACTGTCACCAAGGTTTACAGCACTGTATAAATATAAGCTATTACTAGTGGTTGTCTCAGTTTTATATTGTAGGTGCATCTATATACATTGTGGTAGAATCAAACCAACTTATACCTAACCATGAGATTCACTGATGGTACTCTTAGAGCAATGGAACATGATATTGGCAGATCAGACCTACATCACCTTTTTATTACCCAGCTCTTCTGTGGTTTGGGCGGGGTTGGAGATGTTCAATTATTCAAATAAGGAAGAGATAGGCTAATTTTTAAAAATAAAGTAATTTTGTTAATTGCCTAATGATTTTTGTATTTTGTTTTACAGAAAATAACAATTGCCTTGGTCAGAAAAGAGGTAATTACTCCAATAAACTCCAGGAAGATTAAATTTTGTATAATGCAACAAATTTGACAGACTTTGGAATTTCTATCATTTCTATCTGTTGAAAGACATTGACTTTTCTATGGGTTTGATTTCTAAGATCTGAACTAGGCTGCACTGCTACCTATTGGATTGGGCCTTGTGTTTTTTCCATTCAGCTGTAGTCCTTGTTCTTTACCCCCCCCCCTCACCTCTCTCCATAGGCCCTTTCAGAGTCTGTCCAGGGTAGGAAATTATTTATGGCCATCCCTGGATCTGAAGTGCTTCCCACAGAGGCATAGCATAGGGTTTTTTTGTGCCAGAGTCAATGTTGGCCAGGGAAGCAGATTGTGCTGATGGGGATTGGGACAGAGAAGGGAGAGGACAGAGATTGTTTAATATCAGCTTTAGAACCAGGAAGTGGGAAAGGTATTGTCTGTGTCAGGCATTACTACTTCCCGGTTTTTTCAATCATTGGGGTTTGTCAACAGTATGTGAAGGAAGATGATGCTTCAGAGTCTGTTTCCTATCTCTGTGTTTAGGAACTGCTAGAGCATTTTTCAATCAGCATCTTGCCTTTTAAATAATAAATGAAAGGTTGGTAAAGACCACTTGTCTTGGAGGTGGGAGTCACCCATCAACCATGGCAGCACACCTTCTGGTGTTGATGAGGACACCCTGAACCTAAGATTTGGGAGGGAACTGCTAGTCCATTAGAGGTGGTCCAGAGAGGTGAGAGGATGAATATCTTCTAATTGTTTTTGTTCCTTACAGAACATGTACTACCAACAGGCTTTAATGAGATCTACAGTGAAATCATCAGTCTCTCTTGGAGGGTATGTTACTGACTTTGTAATCATGCAGGTGAAGTTTTAAACAAGTGTAAAATGTAAGCGAATGGCCTGTGTATATATAAAGATATGGCTGGCACATGTATGGTATGGATAGATATTTGATCTGGAATCTATTCCACCCCTTTTTCAAGGGAAACTGTAATTTACAGCTTTGTGAGGAACAAGAAGAGAATCACGACTGGCTGTGAGCTTCTCTTTTCTATCTCTAAGAGGGTTATTAGGTTAGGATTATATCTGTCTATCACACCTCAGATATCTGTAGTCTAGGGGTATGATGCTAAACATTTCAGAATAAAAGACACTTTTCCTGATCATAGAGCTCACTCTTGCCACCTTAGCCCCCTTCCACAAATGCTAGTTATAAAAAAGTCTTCATGAAAAGCTAGAGTATTTGTCAAAGTAAACGAAAAGCAGAAACTGAGTAAATTATACATAATGGAATAGACCAAAGAATATGCAAGAGAGTAAATGAACTCTTTAACTGGTAGTGAAATCAGACCTCAGCTCAACCAAAGATAGAGAAAATTATTTCATCAAGGGGAATCCACTCTTAGCAGTCTCTAAGGTCGCAGGTGCTAGAAGTCAAGGGATATGATAAGGAGCTAGATTCATCACATGTCTGGTGGGATAAGGGATATCTTGTCCACCATTCAAAACCCTGTTTTTGCCTTTAACAACTGCCTCTTTGGAAGTCCTCCAACCATCTGAAGAAGTACTTTCTTTGCTCATGTAGGTATTACCCTCACAGCTACTGAGCAATGTTCTCCTAGCTACTCAGAAGTCATGTTTCACTACATGTGTATAGTGAATAATAATCACAGAGGTGGCTTTAAAGGCATTGACCAACCTGAGTGCCCAGAAGTGTTACATAGGGTTGGGATGGAAGATGGGAAATTGGTTCTACTTGGCCTATGACTGATTAGGTAACTCTGAAATTGATCATCTTGAAACCATGGGTCAGAACCTTTGCAGTTTTGTTACCAACTCTTATTGTAGAGTACATGCTTAGTGATCAGACTGCACTGGGCCATGTCAAAGATGCTACTTTAAGGAAAATCCAAAATGTCTTTGGAGTCCAGCTATACTTCCATCATCAAGATGGACTATTGGCTATTGTCATTAAGCATTTACAGTCATCAACAAAAGGTTCTGAATAATAACTGCAGACATTTCAGAATCACAGAACATTAGAGTTGAAAGAGACCTGTAGTTCAACCCATAACTAAAATGGAAACTCCTCCACAATACACTTAGCAAGTGGTTTCCCAACCTTTTATTTTATTTTATTTTATTTTTGGTTAGGCAATGAGGTTAGGTGACTTGCCCAGGGTCACACAGCTAGTAAGTGTTATGTGTCTGAGGCCACATTTGAACTCGGGTCCTCCTGAATCCAGGGCCAGTGCTCTATCCACTGCGCTATCCAACCTTTTATTGAAAACTGACAGTTTTGAATAACCCACTGCCTCCTGTGGCAGTAGACGGAGCTTTCAGATTTACAAAGATTTTATGTGCATCATCTTATTTGATCCTGATAATAGACCTGCAAGTCTTATCCCCATTTTGCAGATAGGAAATCGAAACTCAGAGATGAAGTGATTTGTCCATGGTGTCACAGCTAGTAAGTGTCAGAAAGGGAGGATTTTACCGTGGTATATTTGTGTTGCTGTTACAGATCGAATTTATATTAAAGTGATCACAGCTAAACCTTTGAGTCTAAATCTCATAGCACTGATAGGTGCTTTTTGATGTGGCTGAAACCTTCCCGGTTATAACCTCCATAGTACCTTTCACATCTTCTAAGGGACACCATGACTCCCAAAGAGTTAAGTAATTTTTAAAAAATTAAGTATTCTCCTTGAAAGATTTCTTCTTAGCTCTGGAAGTTTTCTGGGCAGATAAGAACAGATTTTATTTATTCCTGCAGAGCCAGCCATAAAGTGACTAATCAAATACTTAGAGCATGTTAGCATGTGTTTTGGGAGATCTAGACATATGATTTCATTGGGGTAAAGAACTCCCATCACAGAAGATCTCTCTACTCTTGAAGATCAGCAACTCATCTATAACTTCTAGTATTAAAGAATTACCCAGGTCCTGAAAGGTTCAGAGTGACTTGACCAGCATCACAGAAATAGTAGGGGAACCCAGGTCTTCTTGATTCTAAGGCTCTTATCTACAACGCCATTCATCTTCTCAATATCACAGCATTATTAGAATGGAAAATGGTGGTGCTTTCTTTTTGGCATCAAAGTGGGTAAAAATCCTTAGTCTGGGAAAATCTTGTTTGGCTAATAGTGATAACTGTCTATAAGGGAGTTAATAACTTTCCACCCTAGCCTTTCCCCACACTGTTCAGTAGCGCTAAATGGAAAGCAAATAGACAAGGGAGAAACTTGCAAATAATTTTTAGGCCCATTGTCTGATTTGAAAAAAAAATTAGGGCTACAGCTTATTTCAATTAGATTTCATTAGAGCTTAGATAGTAGTTTAGTTCTTGTTTTCTCACTGTTTAAATGGAAAGAATATTCCACTTGGAGCCTGAAGACAAGGGTTTAAATCTTGGCTCAGCCGCTTTCAAGAAGTGTGACCATAGGGGCAGCTAGGTGGCACAGTGGATGGAACACTGGCCCTGGAGTCAGGAGGACCTGAATTCAAATGTGGTCTCAGAATAGACACTTGACACTTGCTAGCTGTGTGACCCTGGGCAAGTTACTTAACCCCAATTGCCATACCCCCCTACCACCAAAGTGTGACCTTAGGCAAATCACTTAAATTTTTTGGATTCTAGTTCCTTTATAATGAAATGATTAAATGTAATTGTAAATGAAAAATGATAATATTTCTATAACCCACCTCACAAGGGGAGGGTCAAATGAGATCATGTGTGTAAGACATTACCTAAATAGCAAATATTACTATCATTATTTAACTTAAAGATCAGGTTTAAAAAAATGAGATAAGAATAGGAATAAAGCCAAAGGGGCTAATTCCTGCTGATATATATGATTTAATTTTTTATTTTTTCTCCATCACTATCAGAACTTAAATGAAGTAAAATATATGATACCCCACATAATATTTGATCAAATGAAAAGGACTTAACCAAAACTGTAATCATAATTGTAGCAGACATTAGGATATCTTCTTTAGTGCGGCCACATGCCTTGTGATTTATTTCTAAGCCACAGCCTGTTTATCAAAATTCTATGACTTTGGTTACACATTAGTACTGATCTCCAGTGCTAATAATGATTCAGATTTATTTGAAGCTTTATAAAAACTTTCCTCATAATACCCTTATGGGTTAGGTAGTATAAATATTATTACCCACATTTTATAGATGAGGAAAGCGAAGTGGCACAAGGTTAAGTGATGTATCCCCAGATCATACAGTTTAGTAAGTGTTGCAACTGAGATTTGAACTTGTCTTCTAGGTCCTTTTACCACCACACCACACTCAAAGTACAGATGACTTCCCCATGACTCATGGAATATGCAATGTGGTTTTAACTTCTCTGTAGGCAAAGTGCTTAACCTTTAGGTTAGAAGCACAATCATTTTTCCACATGGCTTAGCTGCCTAAAAAATACGTGTTGATTCAAGACCACTGGCCTCTTCTAGAAGAAATTTGTTTTTGCACAAAATCTGGGGGTTGGGTTTATATCTCAATTCAGCCACAGTGTTTGTATAATTGATGAAAGTGCCTGGACCTAGCCATTTTTCTGGAGAAGTGAGAACTTAATGTAATGTTCAAGCCTTAGTTTATATACTCCCTTGATTGCCATCAGTGCTAGTTAATTACCATAAATTGATGTTGCCTGTTAATATCTAATTGCCTTTGGTGCCTGTTAATTACAGAGTTATGTACAAACTGACCTTAGTTCAGAATATTTGAAAGTTGAGTTGAGACTTACAGTTAAGAAGGCTATGTGGAAAGTTGTAGAGAAACTTAGTCTTCCTCATAAATTCCAATACGTAACTTAAAACAGCTCCAGGAAGACTAATGGAAAAAGAACCAAAAATAAATTTAAATAAGCTTCTTTCTCCAGTTAAGAATTGCATGAAAAGAAGCTGCTAGTAGGAGCTTTAAAAAAAAAAAAGAAACTTGAATGAACTAGATAAACCATTTCTAGTTTTTCCATTTTTAAAGATGAGATTGACTAATAGCAAAAATTAAAAAGGAGAACTTACAACAAATAAAGAGGATATTAAATTATTAGGAAATATTCTTCTCAATTATATGCCAACTCAATGGATAACAAATAAAATTGATGAATAGTTATAAATAAACATAGTTATAAAATACCAAGATTAAGAGAATAATGGAGAATGTAAATAATCCAACCCCCAAAAGTTTTGAATAATCCATAAAAAAGCTCCCAAAGAGAGGGAAAAACCATTGGATTTATAAATGAATTATATCAAAAACAGCAAAGAACAATTAATTATCACATTACATAAATTGTTTGTTAAAAAATAAAGGAAATGAAGGGATCCTACCAAACTTCTTCTGCAAGGTAAATATGGTCCTGGTACTTAAGCAGGCAAAGATAAAGCAGAGAAAGAAAACTATAGACTGATGTCTAATGAATATTGGTGCTAAAATATTGAATAAAATAACAGAGGCCATAGCAGCATATTTTGAAAGTTTTGATAGTATAATCAGGTTGTATTTATACTAGATATGCAGAGGTCCAGAATTAGGAAAACTACAATGTAAGAGATCATATTAACAACAAACACAATAAAAATCATGCTATTGTGTCAATAGATGCAGAAAAAATTGAGAAACTACAATACTCATTAATGTTTTTTTAAAAAAACGAACATTTAACAACACTGAAATACATGGACCATTCTTTACCTTGGTAATAGTAACTATGTGAAACCAAGAATTAGCATTACACATAATTGAGAAGTGCTAGAGGTCTTTCTAGTAAGATCAGGTATAAAGCAAGGATGTCTGTTGTCACCACTATTAT